ATTTCTTTGAAAAGTTTCGGCAAATATTTTTTATACTTAGAGTGAATAGATTTTAATGAAACTTATATTAAAATAAAGTACACTCTTTTATCAACAAGTTGAATATTTATTTGAGTTATAAATCAATTTGCAAAGGTTCAAAAAATGGCAAAGAAAAATTGGCGGGTTAGGCATTGTGAGCAATGCCTAAAACCAGGCATTGTTAACATTACCGGCCTAGGTTCCAAACCTCCCCCGGCAATGTTAACAATGCCTAGCGTTAGGCAATGTGAACAATGCCTAACCCGCCAATTTTTCTTTGCCATTTTTTGAACCTTTGCAAATTGATTTATAACTCAAATAAATATTCAACTTGTTGATAAAAGAGTGTACTTTATTTTAATATAAGTTTCATTAAAATCTATTCACTCTAAGTATAAAAAATATTTGCCGAAACTTTTCAAAGAAATGGCAAAGTTGGAAAAATTTTGCAGCATCTCATTCTTTGCCATTTTATGAACCTTTGCAAATCGATTTATCACTCAAATAAATATTCAACTTATAGATAAAAGAGTGTACTTTAATTTTATATAAAAATCATTAAAATCTATTTGCTAAAAGTATAAAAAATATTTACTAAAACTTTTTAAAGAAATTGCAATGATGCTCAATTTACAGCATTGCATTCTCTGACATTTTCTGAGCTTTACATGCTAAATTTATTACTCGATATGGTATTCTACGCGTAGACAAAAGAGTGTACTTTAATTTAATATAAAAATCATTAAAATCCATTTGCTAATAGTATACAAAATATTTACTAAAACTTTTCAAAGAAATTGCAATGATGCACAATTTACAGCATTGCATTCTCTGACATTTTCTGAACTTTACATGCTAAATTTATAACTCGATATGGTGTTCTACGCGTAGACAAAAGAGTGTTCTTTAATTTAATGTAAGTTTCATTAAAATCTATTTACTTTTAGTATAAAAAATATTTACCAAAACTTTTCGGAAAGCGCTTTGCATTGATAACAATGCCGAGGAATTACTAACAATAACTGATTTCCGGCTTTGACGGTTACATATATATAATTTGTATGTAATGAAATAACGATTTGTGATTTTTGTTAATATCCTATCGTATCTTCTTCTCACCCCACTCAACTGTTAAAATCATAATTAATTATTATAGTATAAAATAAATATGATTTTAATTCAAACATTTCAAAGAATAAGAGAGAGAAAGGTGGAGAGAGATAATTATTCAAAATTTACGTTAATCGAGACGAGACGAGGTGGTCTTGTATGGTCATTTTCGATTCATTTCGATTCCACTACGTTTCTTACAGCCGGTAATTAAAAGGCTACGTATAATTATACTTAAGTGGGAGTGGCGAATGTTTATTACGAGAGATAGAAGCCGTAAGACGTATGCTTTTAGAATACTTTTTTTCTTTCTTTTTTTTTTTCTTCTTTTTTTTCTTTTTTTTAATCCTGCAAAGCATTCCTCGAATGATGTGTAATATCCACCGTCAAAATGAAAGATATATAGCGAAAGGTATTATTTGTGTCTCTCGTGATGGAAATATTCGACGAAGAGAATTCCATTAAAAAAAAAAATGTATTTGAAAGATATACTAAATTAACTTTCGTGTGTTCCTTTTTTTTTAATCTTTCGTTCTTTCGTCCTTTCGTTTAATATTACTTCTTGACGTTTCAAATAACGGAACATATTATTATAATATTTGTCTTGACCGAATATATAATATTTAGGTCGATGGAGTGTCATGCGATAGTGATTTTTCTTCAAACAGTTAATCACTATCTTACCATGCATCGAATCAGTACATATATATATTAAACGTACTAGTAATTATGACACAGTGGATCGAATAAAAAATAAATTTTCTTTAATGATCATTTTTCTTTTTTATACCAATTTATTTTATATCGTTAAGAAATAACTCGTAATATCAATTTTGTTCGATTATTTATCGTTTGCAAACAAATATTTAATAATTATTGTACGAGATTATTTTTGCATAAAGAAATTCTTGAAATCAATTTCGTTTTTGTAATTGTATTTTTTTTCTTCTTCTTTATAATTAAGAACATCTCCATGTAAATATTATTTGACATAAAATAATTACGATACGATTAATTGATTAATTGATTGCAGACAATGTAACGGCAGTAGCACGGGTTATGAGGGTTGCGAATATCTTTGTTGCGGTCGAGGTCACATAACGAAAACCGAAGAAATTCTCGAAAGATGCAATTGCAAATACGTCAATTGTTGCTACGTCAAGTGCAATACTTGCAGAAGAATCGTGGAAACATACGAGTGCAATTAAGAAACGAACTATTTATATATATATATATCTTTTTTCGCAATAAAATTTTTACACGTGGATTTTTATTAACAATAATCTTACGTGCAGGTAATATCTAATATTATTTATGATGTATTTTTCAGCGATATTTATTACGTACCGTGTCTTTTTGTGTCGTTGCTTAGAAACAAAACAAAACAAAACAAAAAAAAAGAAAAAGAAATAAATGAAACGTAAAAATTATCGTTAAGAATTAAAATTAGATGACGATTAATTTTTCTAATCGAAACTTTATAGAAACAGAGAGAAGAAACCATCGTATTTCATGTTGTATACGTAAATAGAATTATTATCCTACGTATATATTTGTGATTTGAGTTCAATTATAGTCTCTTCGTATTATGAAATATTCTGTATAAAAAAAAAAAAAAGAAAAGAAAAATACGATAAAAATGTTAGCGTAATTTTTAGTCGGATACAATTAATTAATAATATATCGTAGCATCGGATATTGTAAATAGAAATAGTGCGTTAACGCTAATTACGTGCGTGAACAATTTTAAATGTTTTACGTTATAAAATAGTCAGTCAAAAACAAAAATAAAATAACATTTTAAATATTAGATATACCAATTAAATCGTTTCTTCACGGTTCCACATAATTTTCGTTATTTTGTTCTACCTTGATATCCAACGTCTCGTCATTCGTTTTTATATCAAGATCTTTGATAAAGCAATGCCAATCAATACCAGAACCACAATCCGGTTCTTTTTCCGATGCCCACCATAATGCTGTCTGTGTCGATGCATAAAATTATTAATAAAATTATTAATAAAATAAAATGTTCAAATAACGCGGGCTGGATTGTAAAGTATTTTTGAAACAATTATTTGCCTAATCAAAGCCACTCGTATTTTTCGAAGTTCATCAAAACTTTAGCAATCCACCCTCGTAATATAAAAATACGATAACATCGAATGAAATACCTTAACGTTTATGGGAATTGCAGGAGGTAACGGATCTATTTTAACGTTGATAAAATCCAATAAATCGTTGTAATCTATTTTACCTTCCTCATCTTTGCGTAAACTTTATAAATTGTAATAATAATTATTATATAAAAAAATTAGCTTTTAAAATAATAAATAGAACATTTTCAAAAACTTACTTATCCAACATCGAATTTATTAATTCGATATCTAATGGTATTCTACAAGCACGTACAACTGCATAAATCGTGTTGCGGGGTAAGTAACCAATTTTTTGCCTATCCCAATGTAAAAGATCTTCCTTTAATCTATCAGCCTCGTTCCATATATCTCGATTAAGTTCAGTATGAACCAATTGTCTAAATTCAAAACAAACAAACGAAATCTTATCAATTTCAATTGAATATATTCGTACAATTATTATTTTATTTTGATTTGAATTACCTGACATATTCCCTCGTGTGAAATATTTTCTTTTCGTGCGAAGAATAATGTCTAGCAACTGTAATTATTTCATGCTCGGTTATTTGATCTCCCAAATACGTGCACAACGCATTCCTAAATTTTTCGTATTCCAACGTTGGAATTTTGTGTTCAGCTAACGAAGATGGCGAATAATTTTGAACAAATTCTTTGTAAACTGGTGTTAATGCTTCTTTTAATTTTCCCATGATCAATTTGATATTTGCTTTGGGAAACTAATAAATAATAATTGAATAATTATGATAATTCGATTATAGAAAAACACGTTTATACCTTTTCGCAATTTAATTCCATGTAACGTAGCGCATAATCGTCGGCAGAAATAATCGAGAAATGAAACTCGTTTATATTCAAACGTGCTCCTATATAAAAATTTTCTGGCTTGAAATATTCCGGTTTTGTACTAGAGAATATGTTCTGTTTCGGTAGCATTACTGGCATCTTTTTTAAAAATAAACATCTTCTAAAACCTAATACAACAAAAAAAAAAAAGAGAAAACCAATTTAGAATACGAAAGGAATTTCATAAATTTCTTACGAGACATACCTGAATTTCTTTTCGTTAATTCAAAAATAGAAATCGAATCGTCTATGAGATATACTCTTATGATAAAATGTCTGTCCAAATTTTCCGGTATTTTTGATATCATTTGTGCACGAAATCTTAAAACTCGACTGTTGAAACCTTGCCTAATTATTAACAAAAAGACAAACAAATCCGAATGTAATGAAATTAAAATTTGAAAAAAAATCAAATGACGAACAGCAAATCTAACTTATCGTAATGTAGAAATTTAACGAAATCCGTTTTAGGTGCTTTCGGTATCATCGTTAAACAATTTCCAAGAGAATCGTCGTAAGAACCGAAACCATTGTACGGTGGAATGTATTTTTCAACTGGTAAACAAATTTCATTTTTTTTTTGCGGTCTCTCCAACGGAATAAAATCGTTTAATCCATATTTGGTTCTTAAATGTTAAATCAATATTTCAATATACAATTTTTTATCCTTAATTTGTGATTGATATTTATTTTATATAAATCACCTGTAATATTCTTTTGTGAATGTATCCATGTCCGTTATAACGACAGTTCTTCCAAAAACGTTCATTATAGCACCTATTGATAATTCATTATCCTTGTAATATTCTTTCTTCGTTAATCCAGTATTTAATGCGTCTATCATCGTATAACTTTGATTAGTATCGTCACCCATTACGTTTAAAATGGTAAAAGGATCACCAGCACCGATTGGATCCAATCCCGAATAAAACTAAAATTGATTTAAGATTTTGAATACGTTGATGGAACGATATTAAACGAATAAATAAATTTAAAAATCAATATCGATTGTTATATATATTAATTAAAATATTACTTTAGGAATTTTCATTCTTTTAACAAGGACAAATCCAGAATCTCTTCCAGAATTGGGAGGAAAATTTTCTTTGATTTCAATAGTGTCGTCAGCAAGATAATAATGAATTTCAAGATCGTGTACAATACCATGAAGATTATCTGTGTCGTCCCAATATCCATAAAATCTTAATACTTGTCTATCGTATTTTAAAAAATTACCAAGGTTGTCAATTTTGTAAGTTCTTGGTTTCTTGGGAAAATTTGGCTGTTAAAATATTTCATGTTAGTTTGTTAAATGATAATACATTTAAATGTACACAATGTGTCTGAGATTTTAACAGCAAAACATTGTCAGCCGTATATACATTTGATTTTTAAATAAGCTTACAATTTTTCTTGCTTCCATGTATGGATCTTTAGGTATTTTAATTGGATCCGGTACTGGTATACCCATACGATTTAAAAAGTGTCTTGTAAACTTGTCACAATCAACTATTTTATATACCCTACCAAATATTTCCGGTTCTTTGCCAATATTTAAATCTATGATGTCGTAAAATCTAAATTTAACTGGATCAGGCATTGGAATTCTTTGACGTCTTAACAAAACACCTATAAATAAATAATTAATATCAATTTAATGAAACTAATCAAAATTATTTTACCACCTTACAAAATGAGTGTGTCGTATTTAATATATTTCTTACATAGTATATTTAATATAAATAATTTGTATGTAGTTGTCGAAAAAATTAATAATTAAATTACGATTGTAATAAAAAAAGAAAACCAAAACTTCGTCATTTTGTAACGTAATGTAAAATAATATTGATCGACCATTGTAAATCCTTTTTTTTAAATAATGTACATAATATGTATGGTAAAAAAAAAAGTTCAGAGGTGATGCACCATTGAACCTTGTTCTAAGCCACTATTATCTACGATCGGCTCGGATATTTTCATTGTTCCGTCTTCTAAGAAAAAACTTATTGTAACTCGACGAATTTGAAATGGTGATTTCCATCTTTCTTGTACGGTCTCTTGATAATACGCATCGAACATTAATCTCTAAAATAAATAAAATAAATATTAACAACAACGTGACAAATACGTTGTTATTTAATTAAATAATTGATTGAATTATACTTGGCCATCGTATGCTATCCATGGTGGTATCTCCTGTACTTCACCACGTGTATAAATAGATGGATATCGACCGAAGTCAGATTTTTTTTCAGAAAGGTAATAAACACCATCGTGTATTTTGTCAAAGTATTGACTTCTATGAAATTTATTACGACCTAGCTGTAATTTAAAATGATAGATCTTTTTTCTACTTTTTATTTCAAATAATTATTATGTGTCAAATTGAGATCTTACATTCCTATCAAAATTGAATCCAGGTAAAAGAGGTAGTGCTGGTGCTCGTAACATTTTTTTTATAGATTAATATAAATATTCCAAATGTATAAAAAATGATTTGATATGATAAATAAATAAAATAATATTTTGTTAAACTTCCTAATCGTGGTGAATGAGGTATAACAAAATGAACAGACGACTTATTTACTGAGGTTGTTACCTTGGTGATAATTATATTACGTAAACGTGATAATACCTTTCTTCTATCTTTTGCAGGATAATTCTTTTTATATTTTTTTTCTTTATCACATTAAAAAATCGTATTTCGTTTAATTAATTTACAAATATTCATTAACAATAATACAATAATTACAAGTCTCGATGTTCAATTTATTTTTTTATTGTTACCAATGATTTATATTATTACATGTTTATATATTATATATAGAAAAAAATATATTTTATATAATTGTCTTCAGTAAAAAATATGCTATAAAAGTATATTTTTAGCAATTACTTTCTTCTGATAAAATACTTTCAAAAATGACATTTCGATTACAAATACTTGTAATAGAAAATTACACATGAAACAAATCTCATCTTTCAAATTGACAATATTTATATAATTCTGCAGCATATATTATATTATATTTCCTTTCCATCATATATAGTAAATGCATTTTGGTTATTTTTAAGCGTAATAAGTTAGTAACTTATACGTAATCTATTAAATTAGTATGAAACGAGGATAATAAATAAAATTAAGTTAATGTGTGAGAAATTAAACGTTAAACAATAATATAATGTTATAATTATTCGGACGGTTTTCATATTTTAACTATTGTAATAATTGTTTGAGATAGGAACGCTAGTAGCACCAAAGATATGTTCTCTGTTAATATAAAAAGCTATTCATTGAATATCGATAGATTTAGGCACGTGCATAGTTCATACAATTTTTTCTTTAATACCATTTATCGTCGTTATCGTTTTGTTCATTTTTTTTTAATCTTTCGTCTCTGGCTCTAAATCATACCAACTAGTTTGTGAGTTATTAACGTAAATCTCGCTTAAATTTAAATGAAGTTGGCCCATAATTTTGCTACCGGTAGAAAGCCAACCTTTCTGCGTGCAAACAGAAACCTCTAAAATGCGTGAATTTAAATCAGCTTGCGATATGAGATATTCGAACTTTTCATCGAATATCGGATTACAATTGTCCTTCATTACAGCCGTTTTACGTTTTGTTTCTTTGTGCTTGTCCGGTAGAAGATAAAGTTTTACGTACGGATCTGGTATATTAAACGGATCATTTTGTGGAAGAGGTAAATTTCTGTAATATATAAAAATAATTAAAATATCTATTTAACTTTATATAATATTAAATTATATTATTAGATATAAAATATATGAAAATACTTACGCGATTTTGTGAACGTCGATAATAAGTTTTTGTCTTTGAATACTGTATCGTATAGTTAATTGTATTCTTCCTAATTTCGATTCACCTGCAGACGATGTAGTACTTGGAGTTCTATGAATAAGACCCGGAGATGATGAAGAAGAAACAGATGGTGCAATACTAACGACATCCTCCTCTTTTGCTTGTGAAATCGTTTCTTCAATTGGTGGTATTAGAGTAGATGCAGTACTATTGATCGACTCCTTTGAATATTGTTTTTTAAGAGGACTTGGAGGTACTACAATAGAAATATAATGAATCAGGCAATGTATTTTATATACAATTAATAATAACAAACATAATAAATTTTCTTAAACTTACCACTAGGCTGAAAGGCATTACTGACGTCGGATTCTTGACGTTCCATTTTTTTAATCAATTCATTTTCTTTATCATCCTCGTCTTCTTCAGAAGTAAGTTCCGGCTCCTCGTATTTAAGAATCTACATAAAATGATAATTAAGAATTATTTTTAAATAAATAAGTCATTCTTATTTAAACATATATTAATTTGTATAATTATTACTTACACTTAAAGACATCGATAAGACAAGTTTACTATCCGCTTCTGCCATTTGTAAATCGAACGGTTGTTGAGTTACTTCAAGATTATCTTTTTCGGTAAGTAAAGAAATCTTGTAAGACATTTCTCCGACCGTCATATTAGTTTTTTCATCGAATATCTAAATAAACAAATTCAAAAAAAGAATTAGAAAATATTTTAATAAATATTGCATTACGATTTTAATATCATCGAATAGATCAATGACCTGGATGTGCATTATACTGGATTCTGGATTGCTGACTAGAAAAGTAAACCCTTGTTCCCATACCGGATCACACGATCTTAATATTGTATTAGTTCGTTGTGTTTGGTTATCGATGCTTGCTTGAAGATACACATCGGGCTGTTTACTTCCACGAACACACTGAAATATTTTTCACAATTATTTTTCTTCATTATTATAACATGATTTAATAAAATAAAATAAAATATTTCTTACTGGTAAATTTTTAGCTGAATCTACGTAAAATATAAGTACGGCCGTACTCATAGATGTTACACGAAGTTCTTGAGTTTCTATTAATGCCTAAAAAAAAAATATATATATATATATATATATATATATACTTCTTTATGTTTTAACTTATGATAAAATTATTAATACAATAATATACTTACAGCTTGCAAATAACCAAGATTTTTTGAAAGTTGAAGCCACGTTAATCTTAGATGAACCATTCCATGCTTTGCTTGTTCCAACGATACCCACTTTTAAATAAAACCGATCGTCGTTAAATGATTAATTAATTAACATATTAAAATATTTAAATAATATTTATTTACATACCGTATCTAACACTCCTTTCTTTTTAACGCGATTGACTTCTATGGTGGCCCTACAAATTTAGAATATGTATTTTTTTTCTTAACATCTATATTTGTTTGTATCTTTTTTTTTGTAAAAGCAAAATAAACGTTGCATTCGATGATATGCTAATAAAACTTAAGTAATAATTATACGCTGTTATATAAATACATCATGTGGTGAAGCTAGGTACATACAATAGCAAAAATAATACAGCTATAGTATATACAACAATGCAATATTTTAATCTCACTGATATTAAATAATTCAAAGCTAATGATTTATATACAATAGTTATATAGTTAATTAAATAATAATAATACATTCATTAATTAATAACACATGCAACATGCTATGGTACGAATATTTCCCGATTTAAATAAATATTATAATAAATATAATGTAATATAAGAGTAATATGGTGACATGAATCTGAAAAATAAAGATCTTTCTTTTCTTATATATGAAATATTGTAGTATTGTATGAAACATTTTTATATAAGAAACAAGGATTTAGGAATCATCATGTATGCGTATAGAATTTAAATTCCTTCATATGACTCATGCTATATAAACAGAAATTTGAATGCTATATCTCTTTAATATACCGTTGAAATGCAAGCTTATAATTTACAGTTAAGGGATAGAATAGATATACTATTCTCTAAAAATTGATTCGAGTGAAATTTATTATTCTCATAGTATACTTGGTACAAGTAGCAATACCTGCCAAGTGGGTCATCCTGACCAGTGTTGTCTTTGTCAAAAAGCTCGGTAATCACGGTGTTGTGGGCTCCCAAACCCTCTTCAACTACAAACTGGCATTACATAAAATCATTATTGTTTTAGATCTTCTTACTTTAAGTCACCTAATCACTCTGCTTTTTTTAATTTGAAATTAAAATTAAACGAAAAAAGAAAAACGAAAGAAAAGGGGGAAAAAAAAGAGAAACAAAGAGATACATTTAAGAAAATATATTGAAGTAATCTAATAAAAACTATAAAAATAAGAAAAATTAAATTATTCAAACATTTCGTGAAATATGAACAATTATTTTTTTTTGTTCATATTTCACGAATACAAAGCTACAAAATTACGTATAGAAAATGTGGGCATTTAATTTTTTAAATTATTAGTAAAAAACAAAAAACATATTCGACGTACAAAAAGCGCACACTATTGTAATTGAAATTATCATAGGCATTTTTGTTTTTAAATTTTTTAATTGGTTCTCATTAAATGGTGTTATCATCTAATAAGACATTACTACCTGCCAAGAAAGTCATCAAATTGCATAGAAGGAACACTTGGATCCCAATCCCAAAGGGACACCACAGCTTCTTGTTTAATGCATGAACTGATCACAGCCTGTGTGTCAATATTATGAAGTGAAATACGAATATAATTGAAAATACTACTTTGATAGATTTTAAATAATATGTAACATACACTTTGTTTCAATTTACGAGAACCATTAGTTATAAATTACTACATATAGTTTTTTATTTTCATGTGTATTAATTATCCAAAAATATGTTTAGTAGAAAACATCATCAATAATTGAGATTATATAGAAATGATATATTCATGCATTGAGCATCAAGCCTAAACCATGCTTCCACAAATATACAATAATTACCTAGAATTTTATTTTTACCACAAACATGCAAATATTTTACAGTATTACAGATGATGATAATAATAAAGCAGCTTGTAATAGAAAAATATGTGAATGATAAGATCAATAAATATTAATATATACAATAAGAATATAAATAGCATTATATAAATGTGCATACATATACAGTGTGTCTGAAGTTTCTCCAGTCAAACAGCGCAGACACTTTGTATATATACATTTCTTAAGACTTGAACTTCTTTTATTATAAAAAAAAAAAACACAATAATAAATTATGAAAATTACGATACTCTTTGATCTTAATTTGAAAAATAAAAAAATAATGTAATATATTATTTTATCATACCTTCCAAGGCTTTCATCGCCTTTAGTATCATCATAGTCCCACACAAGCACTGTCAGTTGCTGAGCGATGGCCGATGAGATGGCACACTGGTCCACATAATGTGTCACACATCACATACACACATACATACTGAATAGTGATATTAAATTAAAGTAACATATACTAAAATGTAGTCGATCTAGACTTTTGAATAGAAGTTAATTTAATTCTTATAGCACCAAAGGAAACTTTCAACATAAAGATGATAAAAAAGGAGTCGTTTTATGTTTAAGCGAATATTAGTAGATGTTAGAGAAAGAAGAAGTGTTAGATTAGCCGTATTCTCGTAGATGAAACTAAAATAAAATAAAGAAAATTTGTTTATAATATTTAAACATAATACTTATCGAATAATCAATAAATAAGAAATGTTTAAGTCGATATAATTTTTTCTTTGATAGATAGAGAATATTTCTTACCATCCGATAGATTTTGAAGGAGATGCGAAAGAATATCTTATGCAATTGATTGCAGTGAAGCTCATGCATTATACGTGTTCTTAAAAGTTTATATGATTAAAAATTGGAATAAATTAATCATACCTCGCACCAAAAGTCCCATTTTGGATTGACAGTATTGTCAATAGTTTGGGTCCTAAATTGTTGAGCACCAACATTTATAATAGCATATGGATCAGATTTCCCTTTACCTAACATACCAATATCTTTCTTCATAAGATGTTTTGCTTCAATAACATGAATTCTTAAAATACCCTATGGAAATGATTAAAAAAGATAATTTTAATAAATGATATATATTCATATATTAGACAATTAAATAATTAATTGCAATTACCTCAGGTTCAGGAACTTTTAATGTCTCTACTGGTATTTGGTCACTCAAAGGAATAACAATTTTATTAGGCAATACCACAATTGCAGCTATTTGTTCTATAATTGTTTTTCTTAAGGTCTCACTATTAAACATAATATTTCATATTAATCTAATGAATTATTGTATTTCATTATTTATTTGCGATAATTCCAAGTACTTTACCTAAAACCAGGCAGATCAAGTACATCGGCTACACCCACTAAATTAAAATTGATTGCTGGTACGTTTAAAAAGAAGACCTGTACTCCTCCAATTATTGGTATCACCGATATTATTGGTTTCATAACAATGCGCATTAGACCTCGAAGCTAATATAATAATAATTAATAGATTTATAAACATTTTTAAAATACATTCAAGATATGTGCAACTTTTAGAATATTTACCTGGAAATCTTTGATACCACCTTTTATGTTTCCAACAGAAAATGTAATATCGCAATCTCCAGCATACCTACAAATATAATGATTATTTTCATATTCATTTCATTGCTATGTATTTATGTAAATTAAATACGAACATTACATCGGCATCTAAGATGATTTCATTTCTAGAAGTATTTTTATCGTAAACTTTTATTCCATAGATTTTGAGAGGCTGAAATAAAATATTATTTATGAATAGTAAATCATATCGATGCATATATATTTTGTTTGTTAAATTTAACTTACTATTCTGCCCAAAACTAATCGTTCAAATTGAAATCCTTTGATTTTATAATCGGCTAGTTTTTGAACGATAGATGGTTCTATTGTTTGTTTGCAAAGTTCACGAGCGTACTGATTAATACTTGGCCAAACTTTGTATAATATCTAAAAATAGTAAACATAAATAAAGGATAAAATTAAAACAGTTATATTATTAGTAGAAGATAAGGGAGATTTACTCTACCCTGTTTAACCATTCAGCTCTATCAAAATCAGGAAAATAAACCCAAGATGGTAATTCGTCCATTCTGTTACCGATCAATTCTTTTTCATTAGCTATTACACTGGCTTGCGCAGTGATGGCTCTTAATTGTTGATCCTTCTGTCTTTCTGATTTCCATGCCAAAAGTATAATAGGAGCGAATAGCCATGCTAAGCTAAAATTCATGTATCCCCAACTCCATATAATACCAGTAGTTGTTAAGTTTATAAAGAATGATTTAATTAACGAAGACATGGTCATATATGGCCAAATATATGGTTTAGGTACTTTATTGTCACATGGATCAGGCTCCATAATTATGATTTTTAATTACGATCAATATTGTTCATACACAATTTAAATGCCACTCGATGTCTATTCTAATCTTCCTAAAAAAAATAAAAACACTATTTATATATTAAGAAATATTATTAACACGTTGACTGCCACGTCAGTCATTCACTTAGAATTGTGGCCTCTACAGAAAAACATGTCAAACTTGCGTGGCAGTCGACCTGTTAATTTAATTGTAAAAAATAATTAATAAAAAACATAATAATACAAATCCTCAAATAAATTTTTAAGTTGTTCCAAAGATTTCTATCTTTTTCTTTATAACTTTTACATGTACAATATTAGTTTCTTTTGTTATTTTACTCATATGTCTATAATATATTGTATAGCAAAAGATTATAATGCAGAATAAATCTTAAATTAATCAATAAAATAACCTAAAAAAAAAGTATTATGCATGTAAAAATTATTAAGGAAAAAAAAGAAATTTCTGAAGCAACGTATTGGAAACGTAGAAAACGAATAATTGCAAGTTATATGATTTATAAGATAGAACGAGTTATACGATAAATGCATGATGAATTGTTTGTAGCAAATTGATGTAGGATGCAATTGGTGTTAAAGTGTACAAGAATATAATGCAAGTGACTTACACTTATAATAGAACGTTTAGTAATGTGTTCTTTCAAATGGTAATAATCAAGCAACGACGCCAATGGATAAATTAATTTTTAGTTATTAGTCATACCTTAGCTTTTTCAAGGTCGTTAAGACTTAAATTAGATATTTCAAAGATTTCTCTGAAGTCTACTACAAATTGGAATCATGACGTCAGCAGTCAGCTGATTGCTTGAAGTTGCTCTCCATACATTTGTCAAGACGCCATTGTTATAAACGAATTCTTATTACTTCGTGATATCTTTTTTCATAACACATAGATGATCGATTTTGTACCGACTGAAAAATATCTTTTACTTTATTAATTACTTGATTATCGTGCATAAAATACATTAACCAAGTTTAAACATGGGTCTCGTTTGTTCCACAGCGCAGGTAAATTATTTCTTTCTTTTGATCTTATTCAATTATGTCAAAGATATAAATTGACATTTTGATTTTGATTTAATGCGTATATCTATATATACATATATATATTTTTACTCTTTGCAATATTAAATTTCATAATGAAATGTCATTCTTGTGTTAGATTATATTTAATATAAATATGCAAACAAAGTTTTATGGTTATGTTATTTCTTTGTCATATATTTAATTAACAAATTTAATTATGTTTGACATGATTAATAAATGGAACAAAATTGTATCTGGATAATTTGAACAGTTTTGTGCCTATCGTAGAAACAATATATTTTGCGTTTTTAGTCTAACACGCTTTTATTTTTTGACATGTAATGGATGATTGAGTCAATTTTCTTCTGTTAATGTTATTATTTCAATAATATTTATATTATTTGTTATAGCTTGCCTGCCTGTGTGGCAGTACAGCGTGTAGTTTCTGTTGTTCACAATGCCCAACTTGTCGTAACAGCACTAGCACTCGCATTATGTATGCGATGTTATTAATGCTTGGTACTATAGCTGCGTGTATTACTATGGCGCCTGGTTTACAAGATGCTCTTAAAAAGGTAATAAGCATAATAATTATTTCTATTCTTATGTTTAATATTTAAGAAAATAATATTGTTTCTTTTAATAGGTTCCATTTTGTGCTAATAGCACAAATTATGTCCCGTCTTCATTTACCGTAGACTGCGAATCAGCGGTTGGTTATTTAGCTGTATATAGAATATGTTTTATTCTTGCATTATACTTTTTCTTGATGTCTGTTATGATGATCAGAGTTAGAAGCTCTAAAGATCCACGGGCACCCATACAAAATGGGTAAGTTTATATCGAATTAAAAAAAAAGGATGAAATATAGAATTTAGAATTTTTTTTAGTTTTGGAAAGTTTACTTATGTTATTTAATATATGTTACAGATTTTGGGCGATCAAATATCTTCTAATAATTGGCGGTATAATCGGTGCTTTCTTTATACCTGAAAAGTCATTCGGTTCAACCTGGATGTATTTTGGAATGATAGGAGGTTTCTTTTTCATTATTATACAGTTGATTTTAATTGTGGACTTTGCGCATTCTTGGGCAGATGCCTGGGTAGGTAATTATGAAGACACCGAATCAAAAAGTTGGTACGTAACTTTTTACAATTTATTTCATATCTTAGAATTTGTATATTTGTAGAATTTATAATAATAATAATACTTCTAAATTTAATTATAGGTATGCAGCATTAATGGGAGCTACTTTGTTTAATTATGCTGTTGCTATTACTGGCGTTGTATTACTTTATGTATATTTCACTCAGGTAAGTTTTTTCTTTATAAAACTGTTTATATATATATATATTTTATATAATTAATCATTTATTTGATATTTTCAGCCTTATGACTGCGCACTTAATAAATTCTTTATTTCATTTAATCTTATTTTGTGCGTCATTATCAGCATAATTTCTATTCTTCCAAGTGTACAAAAATATCAGCCACATTCTGGTTTACTTCAGCCATCTATAGTTTCATTGTATGTCGTTTATTTAACATGGAGCGGAATTTCCAACAGTCCAGGTATCAAATATACAAATTAAATTAATTACAAATATTTATGATATTTTGTTTTTACTAATCTTTTATAATTATGTTTACAGATCGTACTTGCAATCCTGGATTCTTTGGAATAATCTCTAACGACAAGCATGCTCAAAATCGTGTTGCTTTTGATAAGGAAAGCATAATTGGTCTCATAATATGGTTCAGTTGTGTTTTGTATAGTTCTCTACGTACGGCATCAAAATCATCCAAGATCACCATGTCTGAAAATGTTTTAGTTAAAGATAATGGAGCTGGTAAGAATAAAATGATATATCAATATTTTTATATTAGTTGAGTTAATTCACATATTTGGCAAATTTTATATGATAGATATTATAAATGTTGCATGGAAATAATCATTTCTAACAATTTTTAATTTTCATTTAAACATCCTAGATTTGACGGGTTATCAATAATTTTAAGATCATTTAATTCATTTAATATATATATTGTAAATAAAACTTCCTTAATAAGTATTAACTCTTTTACACAGTTAGGAATGCAGGAGACCAGTATCTTATCGACAATGAAGGTAGGCACACATAGTTCTATCATATACGTTAATGCAATTTTTAATTAACGCATTTTCTACTATTAGTCTTTTGTTTTTATCATTGAAGTATTTGCATTTCAGAACTTTAACATTTCCACAAATTATTGTTCACCTTTGCAATAGATTTCACTTGCTTGAGTAAAAGGTTATGTATTACATTGTAATTTAAAATAGAATGACAGTAGTAAAAAGGAAAAAAATATACGAAATAATCCTGTTTTATAATCAGCGTGTGCCTGCTTGAATTGTCTTTTTTTTTTATTTGCTTTCCAAATTTTAATTATTTGTATTTTATTTTATAAGATAGATAAAAATGAATTTGTATATATATAAATATATATAAATGACTATTATTTATAATAATTCATTATCATATTGTGGAAATATTAAATTAATATATTTAAAAGATAGTTTTAACAATTGCACAATTTATAATGCAATGCATTTGTGCGATTGTTTATTTTCTGGAACATAATTAGATTATACTGCAGTAGAAGGTCGCAATGGAGATGCAGAAAGTGGTGAAGCTAAAGTTTGGGACAATGAAGAAGAAACTGTGGCATACAACTGGAGCTTCTTCCATTTAATGTTTGCGCTTGCCACTTTATATGTGATGATGACTCTTACTAATTGGTATGAGTAAGTATTTCAAAGTATTTTCTATATTTCACTTAAATTTATTATCTCTTTTATTAATAACAGTTAAAAATAATTAAAAAAATAAAATTCTTTTTTTCGCAGGCCTAATTCAAACTTGGATACTCTGAATTCTAATGTTGCATCAATGTGGGTGAAAATAATTTCTTCGTGGTTGTGCATGACCCTTTATGTTTGGTCACTGGTTGCACCAATACTCTTCCCGAATCGAGAATTTTCATAAATTTGGAGGTTTTTCTAAGGAAAGTTAACAACTAATTAAACAGGTATCTTTGTATTCATTTTAATCTTGATATTTAATGCATCAATGATAACATGATACATTTTAATAATCTAGCTTATTCTTTTTATCTTTGCTCGTGCAAAGGTTAATATATTAATATATTGTTTGTTAAGCTAATTAACAACGTTCTTAAGTGATATGACAAAAAATAATAATTTAATATATACACAAATATATATATATACACAAATATATATATATATATATATATATAACATAAAACGCTATTAATAAAAAAACATATGATATAACAATTATAATGTAGTTAAATATTTTCTCAAAAGATGTGTATAAATGTTACTGTAAAAATTATACAATATTTTACAAAAATAAAAAAATACGTAAAAATAACGCATATTGTACGAAAAAATGATCGAAAATTGTCAACGAAAATTCTCCCCTTCCTTCTCAAAAAAAAAAAAAAAGAAGGATCTCAATTTGCAAGTTTGAAAGTTGTGATAGAGTAACGAGTGCATCCACCTTGTTGTTCAGCAAAGTGTTCTCGTATTCAAGGCAAGGAAACACACTCTGAAAAAGAGTCAACCGATCGACTCGAATCCAGATTGAGTTTCTTTCATCGGTATCCAATCGCAAACAAACACGTAGAAATAACGAACACAAATATATACGATTGAACAACACGATCGTACGTATTAAACTCTCCTTTACTTTCGTCGAGAAATCTCGATAAACACGAGCTAACACAATCACAACTCGTCTTCTTCTCTTTTAGCGAGTGAAACGAATTCCTTCCCCCATTCGCTGCTTTCTTTTCCTGATTGTATTGGGCCGTTCGTGTAAATTACGAACGCGACCATAGTTTCTGATATTTTTTTTTTTTAATTATTTTATTTCTCTTTCTATTTTCTTCTTCTTCTATTTCTTTTTCTTACAATTATTTTTTAATCGATGTATAAACAAACTATTTTCTTTTTGTTTTTTTTCTTTTCTTTGACGATCAATTTAACGATCTGTAAATAATAATTTATTCAAGAAGTTTAAACGGCTATTAAGAATTGTAATGATTAACTTTTAATTACTTTTTTCTTTTTCCGTTTTCATTCTTTTTTTAATTGGTTATTATTATTCTTTTTCTCTTATTTGTCTTTTTTTTTTTTTGATGCAAGGATTTGTAAAATAAATTATTCAAGAATTTTGATGGCTATTAAGAATTGTAATAATAAATTTTGAATTGTTATTTAATTGGTTTCTTTTATTTTTTCAATGGTTTATATATTGACTAATAAATTGGTAAAGTTAAAAATTTAATTTTAAATTATGTATGATTTATTTTAACGAATAGTGATCCTTTGTATATTTTTAATTTTGCTAAAAATTAAGATTACTTTGTTACACATTATTTTATGAAATAATTTTTTATACTGAAAATATAAATGAATGTGATCAATCCAAAAAATGTTTCATTGAAAATCAATAAATCATAATACTTCATTCCTATAGTATTAAAATTAATATAAATTAATGATAAATTATGTCCACTTATCACAATAGATCATGCGTGAATTTATTGATCACTCGTAATATGTAGAACTCATTAAATTTCACATCTATACATAGATCAGTTGTATATGAATTATATTCACACGTTTGTGTGAAACGTTGTATTAAAGATAATCGATAAATCTATGCATTTCAAAAGGAAATTCAAACGTGTCAATAATATATTATATTGAAAAATAAATATATATGTAAATCGAATTCAATTCGTATGAATTGAAGTTAAGAGATACTTGAATTTAAAAACAAAAAATTAAAATAATCATCCAAGTTATAGAAATTATTTTCTTTTTGTATTATTGTGTAAATGATAAAACATTAAATCAACTAAACAAATTATTGGCCCTTAAAATACATTCGTGGACAGTCAAAGTTTCAACAAGGTAGAGAAACAAAAGTGACAGTCATTTTATTTTGAAATTAATTATAATATCCAAAATTTGATTAAACACATTTTATAAGAGCAGTCAGATGATCATACAATATATTAAAGAATCAGTTAGTCATTACTTTTACAGGTATTACACAAAACTTAAGGTTATATCAAATAAAATTCAAAATAAAAATTTCAAATTTGAATGTTATAACATTCACGTTCGCGAACGTGTTTTAAAATGAATTTACATATATATTATTTCTTATAGATTTTAAAAATGTATAATATATATAAAATATAATATTATAATTTTTTTTTTTTTTTCTATAAATTAAATCACAATTCTCAATAAAACAAACGTATTTCTATTTCGATCTACCTTTCATCGATATAAAAAAAAAAAAAAGGCCGCTCATGTTATTTTCATAAACATTTATAATGCGTTTTCTTTGGCATTACGTATAAAGATTTGATATTAAACGATAAGATATAAGAACAAATTGAAAAAGAAGAAAGAGCTTTATCAAGCAAGCAATTTGACATAATCTGTCGCACAATATCATTATCTTTTTATCTAGAAAAAAAAAAGAAAAAAAAAAGGAACACATTTTATAAATGTTTTATCCAAAGATGCGCGGGAAATTTTAAACGCGAAATAATTATATTTAAAAATTCGAAAAGAAAATATGAACAAATGATCGAATTTTTTCATCGATTCGTTGTAAATCCAATTTGCATCTTTTCTTTTTTTTTTTTTTTTGAAGATAAATAAAAATAACAACGAGAATGAAAAATTATAGTACGTGGGAGGAGGAGAACGTATATAAACCGATAACAATTCACATATACTTAAGTATTGCTTTAGTTTATGTGTGTGTGTGTATGTGTGTGACCTCAATACGTTTTAACTGTAACACACATACTTTCAGTTGACATTCGAAATGATGCGAAGGTCGATCATATACTCGTACCAATTAACAAGATAAGTGAGTTGAATTGCACGGAAGCTAAGAAATTACCTGTTATGCGATAATATTTTTCAATTTTTCAATAATTAACTTGAGAAGTTATATTTAGTATGAAAGAAAGAAAGATAGATAAATAGATAGATAGATAGATAGATTGATTGAGTAAAGTAAAATGTTATTGAAGATGTTAAAATTTTTACAACTATTAAATACTTATCGTTATTATCATTGTCGACAACATATCTTTAAAGTGATCAATAAATTAATCTAATATTTTTAATTTCTTTTTTTTTTTTCTTCAATTGTTCTTTTTTTTATTTATCTAGATAATATAGGAATTGAAAAAAAANTAAAGTTGAATATAAAATATTATTAATAACAATTTCATTGTTAGATAGTTAAAAACATTTCTAAATATATTACGCGCATGATTATTTCTATACTAATAATAAGTGCGTTTCTTTGATGTAACACCATTTATGCTTATCTATAATTAAATAATAACATTATGTACCACTCTAAGCATTTACTGGTAGACCATAATATGATGGATCTAATAGTTATGATGAAATATAAAAATTATCAATATTAATATAATATATAATTATGAGTAATAAGATTTAAAGGATGTTATAATCATTGAAATGACTTTTTTGCGGTTTGAAAAGATTTTTGTATTTTCAGTTTTCATATCATTTTTTTTTTATTAATCACTAACATTATCTTTTTTATTTATTTTATCAAAACTTTTCATTCTTCTTTTGTTCTCTATTTTTTTTTTCAGTTAAAAACCTGTATCATGAATTATGTTTATATTACGACTTATTTAATGTAAGTATCATTTTGCAATGTTCTCAAATTATTTGCAATATAATGTGTATAATATTAAAGATTTTTATCTTTACGAAAATAATTTGTTTATATGAGTGTAGTATACTTGCTAAAAATAGTTTTATGAAATATTATAATATTTTACTATAAGTACCAGAAAAAATATAAAAAAACAAATAAAAAATTATACCTTACTAAATAATATACAACTAATGAGTGAACTTGCACGAAAATCACATTTATTTAAAATAAAATATACTATTCGATAATATTAATGGCTCATAGTTAAAGTAAATAATGTGTGCTAGGAATTTTTAGGATTTGAGAAATATATTTATATTTGTAATATATTTTCTAATTAAAATCTAATATAACACGGTAGGAAAAATATTTATTAATATATATATATTACAAAAGAAAATAAGATAATAAAAAGTTAAATAAAAATATAGTAAATGGAAAAGAATAATATACAATAAACATTATTTACAATATATATATACCATTGCATATATATATATTCGCATACAAGTATGACTAATATTTTCTTGACAGTCATATATACATTATATATCATCATATACAATGCAATCGCAAGTAATGTGATTTATTATTAATTACTATTACGACCAAGTATATATAAACGCATATATATATATTTTGTCGAGATTATTTACAATACTTAAATCTAATTTTGGTAAAAAAAATAAAATATATTTAGTATAACCGTGTTATTCCGATTTCAATGATTTAGCTAATATTTGTTCTCGTATCCTTTGCTTTTTCAATAAATAATTTTTAATATTTTGAAAGGGCGTGTCAAAGAGCAAAGTTAAAGTAACGGATGCAATTAGGATCCAGAAAAATTCCGTCATGTTAAACTGTAACAAAAGTATGAATTATATTCGGATAAAATTAAATTATCAATTTTTTTTTATTTTTATATCATTAAAACATGAACTTTTTTAAACATTTATGTGTTAAATACGTACCACCAGTTTTATGAAATCAAAATACTCGACACTACGAGTATGTCCGACGTTATAAAAATAAACCGGAAATTGTGTCAAATAAATAGCATAACTGAGCCTGGTGGTAACAACGAATCCTTTCCAAGCTAAAGTTCTTCCTAACCATCCTGAATAAAATAATAATAAATATGATAGTAAAAAAAAGAAATTATTTTTTTTATATTTTTTTGACAAAGATAAATAAAATTTTCGTATCACTTGCCATTGGTATTTCCTGTTTGATGCATAATTATTACCCAAGCGAAAAGTATGCACCATCCGATAGGAGCAAATGCATTATACATAGCTGCGTGCATTGGATTATAAATGTAATCTATACTTCCCATTTTTGCTGGAGCAAAAACCGATGCAAAGAACATTGTTGTACACAAAATCCAACCAATGTAAGAGGTATTCTAGATTGATTCAAATAATTAACAAAATTAAATGATAACGATAATGTAGTTATTTCACAAATATAACATCGCAATAAATCTTACTTTATTCATTTTAAATTGTTTAGGTAATAATCGGAGTAAATATCCAACAAATATTCCCATAATGTATACGGTCAATCTGTGACTCGGTAAAATGTACGACATATTTGCCGTATCAAACAGTTGTTTTATTCTGCAATAATATATATATAACAATAACGTATTTAATTTATCGTATTAATTAATATCATAACGCAAGAAAGTATACTCACGATATACCGAAGTAAACATAATTGTTAAGACGTTTGGAATATGTTACGTAATATCTTAACATTGTTGAGAATGTAGCTATAGTAAGTAAAACTATACCACCAATTTTTGGTTTCTTATATAATAACAGTACCAAGAAAGGAGACAGTGCAAATAATTGTGTGTCTATTCCTATGTGATGCGTGTGCGTTAAACACTAAAAAAAAAAATAAATTAATTAACAATTTATTCTCTTGTTTATAAAATATTAATTGTTTTCTTTTTTCAAAGAAATACTTCATAGATAATTTTTCAATTGAAATAAATCGTTCCGATGCTAACCATATTTTCAAATCCAAAATAATTATGAATGAATAAAAAGTTTTTCCACCAGTTTTGTTTGCAAATATTTGCGTGTTGTGTTACCACCAAATTCCATTGAGGTCCAGAACCCAAATGTGGCATGATGTAAGTGCAAAATAATATCAATGCACCTAAAGTTGGTACCAGTCTACAAAAAAGTTCAATCAGTAATCATCAACAATTAAAAAAGTAAATGTTTAAAAAACAAAATTACCTAAAAAGTCGACCTAGATATTCGTTTTTAATATCCAAATAGCCAGTTTTTTTAATTCTTCCAATGAAAGAATAACTGGTAAGAAGACCAGAAAGCATAATAAATGGATCGGTGTAAAGACTTGCAGCTCTTCCTATAACTGTCCATGGTTTACCTAAATACTGAGTCACATAATTAGCTTAATTAATCATAAATTTGTATATGCATACATCTATGCGTATGTTGTATATATATTCATATATTTATATAGATTTTGTTTAAAAATTTACCTCACTCATTTCAGTTCTGTTAGAATATGGATTGAAAAACAATGCCATACTTTTGTGTGCTAATAATAACATCAAAGCATTGAAAGCTCGTACACCATGTAAACTCGCTATATCCCCATCAGTTCTTTCCAACGAGACGAGTTTATTAAAATTACGTTTAATTGAAAATGATAATAGAATTTCGTTGGTAGATATTTTATAATGATCGTAATAAGCAGCAACGAGAGTTAATGCTAATACAGTAACGAACAAAATACTGTAATAAATAAAACATCGATAAATATTATTTTACAAAATGAATATACTATTTGATTGAATTAAATAACACAGTAAAAAATCATTAATTATCGATTTACCCAACGAAAATGGTTTCTCTCGGAAGTGGTAGATTATTTTTCACCTGACACATATCTCGATCAACATGAACTGAAATTTGTAATCCACTTTGAGACGTGTATTTGGATAAAGTATCACGAAGAGATATTTCAACGTCATGAGGTGAACAAGATGCTGGAGTACAAACGGCCCAATTCACTGTACTGAAACGTGGTACTCTATGTCCTGGCTGTGTAAAAACAAAATACAAATTTAATTATATGTATTAATTAAAAAATAATGATAAGTAATTTTTTTTCGCAACGATAAGGATATTGGATTAATTTTTTTTTATTTATATAAGCATGCATTAATAGCATACGTACGTACGTCTGTTACGTTGCTTTTAATAATGTAATGTGAATGAAGAAGACGATGTAAGTGTTTCAAATCGGTTCGTGATTTATCAACGTTTAATTGCAAATAAGCCAAACAGTATTGTCCCCGAATATCATTTGTTCCAACCGTGTTTATACACTCATCGAAATCACCCAATTGATTTACGTTACCATTTAAAAGACCGGAAGGTATCTTAGCCGTTGCATCGTACACTGAAATGATTAATTGTTCGGTTTTTTTTTTTTTTCAATCAATTAAATTACACGATAAAGATAAATTTTTAGCACGGATTAATCGATAACTGAGTATTAGATTGTTCGGAAATATTCGTGTAGATTAATATTAGGGTGAATCAAAAGTTCGTGAGTTTACTGTGTTGAAACTTTACTTTGAAATTGCACGATGGATTGTTTTTTTTTGTTTTTTTGTAAAATTTACTTTGGAAATATTAATATAAAAAATTTTGGTTCATCCTAATATTTATAATGTATTATATATACGATACATTTTTATTCGCAACAATTTATGAATCGAACGGGAACTTTGATTTCTTTTGTTTTCCGGGGTAATAAAGTCCAATATTTGCAATAAAGTAAAACTTTCGTAATCGTGGCAAAAAAGAAAAACGAAAGGTTTACGAACGAATTGGTGACAAGAAGTGAAATCTGTGAAGGCAAAATAACCAAGGCAACACCGTTTTCGTATTGCCAGGACAAGCACAGTAGTGCATACAAAAGAGGAAATACGCATCTTGATGTTAGACTTGACAAAAGACTTTTATATAATCGAATGGTTGTTCTAGATTGTGAAATTAATTTTAAATTCGACATTATTTGAGATATATTAGAATGCATCCTAATGATTACATTGTTTTTTTAAACGAATCGTTAATAACAAAAATATTATTCTATTGTGTCCTAATTAAAATGTCACCTAGCATCATTTAAATAAATAATTTCACTTCAAATTAATTTAAATTGAATTTGCCGAAATTTATTATGCAATACGAGTAAATAAATTCGTATAAAAAAACTTACTCGTCAAAGCCCATAATGTAAATTTGGCGAGTTCTCGTTGAAAAATTTCAGCATCTCTTTTACATTCAACACTGACGCTACCTGCACCAGGATCGTACGCAGGTACCAATTTAAATAATCTACTTGCTTCCAAATCAATTTCTTTCTTATAGGTATCTGAAAAAATGATAAGTACATTTAAAAATGCAATATTTGTTTTTATATATTTGATTTAACCAATTCTTTTTTTAAATGTAAATGACGAAACGTTACACACTGATTGAAACCGGTTAATCAAATTGTAAAGATGATGTTAAAAATTGAAATGATTAATTTGTCGAATCAAAAGATAAAATTTAACTTTGGTTTATTTTTTTCTTCTTCTAATTCTTCTTTAAAATATAATTCAAACAATGTTTCTCAATTTTCTCCGCTGACATTTAAAAAATGCAATTCTTTTGAAAGTCCTACGATCATTTTATATATAAATGTAAAATATAGGTTTTATAGTTAATTTTTACAAATATTTTACTAACGAAATATTTAATAAAATAGTGATCTCGTTTTACCATTAGAAGAAACATATTTGTAGATTATAAATTAAAACTTTTACGCAACAAGGATTTTTGTTCCTTTCCTTTTCTCTTCAGATTCATTTAGAATGTAATAATACAAGGTAGTGCTACATTGTATATTTATCGTATTATTAATTTATACGAACATTATTATTATTATATAATCAAAGTATACATGTTAATATAATCGAGCTGTATGCTTTATTAAGCTTGAACACACCTTTCTAACATCAATGTAAAACCATTTTTTGTTTCCTTGTTTTTTTTTTCTTTACGAAGGACTCGTACCACTTGATTTTATCAATTGTCCTAGTATTGATCATTGTCACGAATCGATTCTTGATATAATATTACTTTCTAATTATCTAATAATTATAGTATGAAACGTAATCATTTTATGCATAACAATATAAAATAGAGAAAAAGTGGACATTTTTGTAAAGATTTTTATCATAGAATCAAGATTTAATAGCGTTTTCAATAATTGCAATCATTGATTGCACCATCAAGTAGACTTTCGTGATATTTATCGATTACAAATGATTAGTTTAATTGTTTATTTCATTTATTGATCTACTCAGAATAAATCTCTTCGATTTTATTTTATTTAATTAATTAATAATTTTTAATAATTTTAATTAATAGTGTAATTCTTTTTTTTTTCTTTTTTTTTTACTAAACATAAAGATATTTTATAAAAAATAACGATTCGCACGTTTCTCGTTGTTTAGTTAAAAAAAAACAAAAAATAATATGACACGTTTTAAGTCAAGGATTTTTATCTATGTTTATCTATATTTCCACTAACGTGGAATAAGATTCTATATGCATAGTACTAACAGTAAATGCTAATAAATTGAAAACGAACGTTTTGCCATTAGTATTTCGCCATTCTCGATGGATAACTCGACGTACAGTTAGTTCAGTGTTAGAAATATTTCAACGGTGTTTTGTTCTCTATTATTATCTATCCTATCAATAATTGTGACAAAATACAATAAGCTAAGTTGCTATAAAAAAAAAAAAAAAATTAGATCATGCAGGATGTAACGCAACGAAGATCATAGTGGTGGTGTTCGCGATTGTGCTCGTCAATACGATTGGTTAATTATAATTAACAAACTTTTCTATATTACATTTTTCCATACAATGGATAATTTCGTGATAGTTTCTGAACTCGTCGTTACCATTAATAATCCTAATGTATATTCATATACATATTATTCTATATAAATATGAGAAATGTTTAATTCTATTTTTATTTATTTATTTTTTTTCAACTTTTCTTCATTATTTCTACTATGTGACAATTGTCAACAAATCAAAGTTTTAAAAATCAACGAATAGGAAAATTCTTTACAAGTGATATTTAACAATTGTTTGATTTTATTATTACACGGTGTTGTTTCATTATTTATTCTTCTTTGTCGTTCAATCCATTTAACAGCATCAATCATTTATCATTAATATCTAAACGTTATCCTTCATGCTATTTCTTTCCTTTTAAAATACTTTATTATCTCATATAATCGATATATAACCTTCTATCATGCAAATGAATCTTTTTTTTTTAAGGTCAATTATTTTTCTCCGCGATTTTATCAATGTCTTCTTCAATGCAAGATATTATCATCGTTCATTTATCGCGACAGGAACTAAATGCGTACCGAGATTAAATATCCTAAGAATATAAGAGGACCTTCGGTATTTATAAAATACACATCACATCGGATAAAAACAAACATAACTTTTTTATTTATTTTTTTTTTGGGTTACCGACGCATATTAAATTCCAAGTCATTGTTCAATTCTTTTTTCGATAGAATTTTTACGTACTGTTTAATGGACAATTATTCATTTATTTACGATACTTTTGGTAACAAATTAAATGTGGTAAACCAATAAACACGTTATGCAGTATTTTAAACGGACGTTAAATCATCAGAAGTGAAGATTGAAAAGTTTCAAATTACGAAACAAAAAACAAGAAAGAACCTTTATTTATTTTATCTCGTTTTGTTTTAGATAATATTTATTTCTAAATAAGATTTTTTTAAATTCATCCACTTATATTCTCCGTTCACACTTTTAACGAATAACATAAAACAATATTATCGATATATACAAGTTAAATACCTAACCGTATAACTAAATATTTGTTTAGTTACTTTTCTTAAATTATATAATATACATATAAATAAAATACCTGTAAATGTCAACTCGCCGTAATAATGATTGGTAGAAATAACTTCTGTGTCTTTCATTTTCCAAAGAACTTTGTCCGTTTCCACGTTGGTGTTGTTATCAAAATTATCGATCAAATTGACAATGGTAAAATTGTTGGAAGAATTTGTCTTGTTTAATGAAAATATACGAAGTATTTCGTCCTCTTCGAGAACGGTATAAGCACTCGTAGAAATAACATCAACGTGTTTAACAGCGTTCAATAAACGAACTATGAATGAAATGAAAAATATTAAATGTTGCAAAGGACGACGATTTATTGTCCTGCTATTCATCTTCGAATAATTTTCGATTAGAAAAGAAAAATAATTTCTTCTTCTTCTTCTTGCAAATATACAAATATTATTTTATACAAATCCTTGTATATCCTTATTGTTCGACAATATTTGAATTATTTGATTTCTCGTTAACACGTATTCCCGATACGCGATAAAATTGACGAAAATAATTCTCCTCATCGAGAATAAATCGAATTAAATGCGTGTGATATATCGTGTAAAATAAAAATAATAAATAAAATATTTTATAACATATCCGCGGGGTGATATATGAAAGGGGGAGAAAAAACAAAAGAAACCGATACGAATGAAAAAGTAACTGAACAACGACCCGTTCGAAGACGTACTCGAAGAATGATCGTTGTTTCTATCATGAGACTCTCTGTTCTCAACATCGATTATTATGAAATCGTGAGAAAAGAGGGGTAGATGCTTCTTTTTAAAACCTCCCACTCTTTTTAAACGCACCCGATCAACAACGCCAAGGGACCGATATTGAAATATCATTTTACAATAGATTTTATAATGCACGCTGTTGACACTTATTTACAACACACGTTAGTGTATGCGAAATACGTTTATTATGCGAGTACGTTTATTTCGAACGTGTTAACTTGAAAAAAAAAAGAAGAAATAATAACAAAATAAGTCAAAGAACTTGTTTCAAACTACTACTACTTTCTTTGATCTCGATTTAAGCTTAAAAACTTTTTCTAAATTATTATAATACTCTATTTAACCTTAATTATATATATAACTTTCATTACGTATATATATATTATATATACATATATATATACGTTAGTTGCTCGCTAAGAAAGTCCTTGGTTTCTTGGTAATCGTTTCGAAAATGTGCTATTTTTTGAATTTAATACTGATGTTCTTGAAAAGAGAGTGGGTCACGATAGTATTACGAAATAAAACTCAACAATCTCGTAATAAACCTGTATCAAAAGTCTGTAGAACGTTAAACTTATATACATATATGATTAAAAAGAAAAAAAGGCTAAGAAAGTTAGAACGTAAGAGTTTGGAAAGATCCCTCATATAAATTTGTTATTGGTGAATCAAATTTTGTTATTTCTTTTTCATCTTATATCACCAATCTCACACGTAATATATACATTTAAAAGCGAAAACTTCTTTCGAAATGTCGCCGTTCGAATAATCGATAAAAAGTAAAAAGTAAAAAAATATTTATCTTTTCTAACAACGCGAATAATTGTTATTATTTATTTTATGTTTTAAAATCGGGTCAGATATCTATATAATATATTATAATATATTATAATACTTTGTTTTATTTTCTCATAAAACAAAATTATTGTTATAATATTAATTATTAACACGTCATTTGTATGAATTAATAAAAAAAAAGTAATGGTAATAAAAATATTTTAATATTTCCATCGATATATATGTAAAAAAAAAAAAAAGAAAGAAAATGTGGAACGAAAAATAGACGAATATTAAATGAAACTGGTTGCATAATAAATTTCTATGGTAACTATAAAAATATTTCCATCCGATTTCTATCGTGGGGATTAATATTAATGTCATCTGTGAAATTTAAACGAATTATTAACGTAATATTTTCCATACATATTCATTTTTAAACGGACGATTAACGAAACATAAAAAAACGTATGGATCGTAAACAAATTTTGAAAAAAAAAAAAGAAATCGTACAAGTGTAATTGAGAACGTTATCTTAACGATTACGTGAGACGTGATTTTACAAACATTTTTATATTGCAATGACATATTTTTTATTAATAAATGTATAATGTGAGTCACAAGGAGTATTTATATCAGATCTTATTATGCATTTTAAATAATTAATTTGCTTGGAAAGCAAGATTTGAAAATTCTTCATTTTACTTAAATGATCAGAAATTGATCTCACAAAGAACATTTACATCTACGTAAGAGATATAACGAAAATAAAATAATTATTTTTATAAGTAATACTTGATTGTGGCACACCTTTGTATTTTATAATGTTTTTTAAACGATTGTTTTTGCATATCTTGTGAGATTAATTTTCTTATCAATTATGTATAATTTTATTCTTTTCTCATGGTAGAATGTTATTTCGTTATAAAATTATATTATCAATTAATAAAAATCGAATATATTTTTTAAATAAGTTTTTTCTATGAGTATTTTCAAATGAAAATATTTTATTAATTAAAAATATTGATTGTTCAAAATTGACAGTGAAAAATGTGGTACGAATATACCTGTGACTCACTGTATGTAAAAAAAGGCAAAAAGAAGTATATAAGAATGTTAAATAATAATTCGTTTAATAGACGTAATTAATATGAACGGTGCAAGGACGTTTCTAAGATGAGTTTTTAAAATGAAAGTGGGAGAGGTCTTTCAAGTTGACCGCTTTCTTTGCGAATTGCGATAAATCCACCGGTCATTGAGCTAAACCCCCCGCACCGCATTCCTCGTCAATACTTCCAACGTATTGCAAAACGTTTTCCTTGCGAAATATTTTCAAGTCTTTCCAATACTCCATTCGTGCGTGCCCTTTTATTCGTTCATTAAAAATAAAAAAATAAAAACCTTGTTACATTTTATCCGAACATTATTTTTATTTTTCTTTTTATTTTTACATACATTTTCTTTTTTTTGGCTCCATGAAATTAAATATAAAGTACTGTAATTATAATGATAAATTATTATTATATATATATATATATTAATATTATTAATAAAAAAAAGTAATTATTATATATAGTTATAGTCGTCGTTCGTTCATCGTATAACAAATGAAAGTTGTTGAGATGTAATACAAAAATTCTTCGTCATCGTAATGCATGTAAATAAGTATTTACTAATACATATGTAATTAAATATAGATGTTTACTTTTATCAAAACTTGTGAAAGATATTGATGTTCGTAATACTTTTGATCTGACACGTTTGCATTTTTGTTATTCTTGACATCGTTTTATCGCTTTCGATCTTATAAGCTCAAACGTACAATGCCAAACAAAAGTATTAGCCTTTATTTAAATACTTGTACACAAATTATGATCTATTAGTTACTTTTTTTCTTGCAAAATATATCTCTGGTGTTTAATAATATTGTAATACGTGCAAATTAAATTGATATACAATAAAAAAAAAAGAATATGAAGACCTAATTGTTAGTATTATTGTTAAAATTATTTTTATTTATGAATTAAACATTAAGAATACATAAATAATTGTATAATATATATATATATATATATATATAGATATATGATCCTAAAAAAAATAAAATGGCGTCGTACAATACTTTTAAAAAATTGTCAATTATTAAGTGGCATCAAATTAATGAAATCCAATTAAATCATATATTATCAGATTGTTTAAAAGAACAAAGTGAAAATAATTCATTGTTGAATCGCAAGTTGTACAGTAATGCATGCAAAGTAATGTTGAACGACCTTCACGTGTCCAGTTTGATTAAAGGTAGAAAGGCTTACATCACAAATAAATAAATGGGCCACGCACACGTTGAGAAGAAGTTTTACGCCGTAACTATTCAATTATTTAATATGTGTAGGTGGACTAATAAAAGTTGTTAAGTAGATATGTAAATTATATTTCATCTAAATAAGGACGAAAAAACTTTCAAAGTACTTTCGAAATTTGATAATGCATCTATTACCTGCTTGAAAATTATATTATTTTTTTTTTTTTTTTTTGAAACATCGACATAATAAGTGCCATTAATTTGTTAAATAATTTTGACGGATAAATCTAGTAGCTCGAAGTAATAAAATCAATGTTGTCCCAACAATATAAATTTTGTTACTAGTCTTCTTATTTCCGTGGACATACTACTTCGATCTTTAAATATTTGTTTTTAAATGGAAGCCTCCTCTCTCGTCATCCTAAGAAAATATCTTAAATTATCAAATTACACAACAAACGATGGTTGCACGATGAGGCGAAATGCTTAAACAAAAGGATCATCGCTCAAGTGGATCTATTAGTTATTCAATTAACGATACGTTCCAAACTCGTTGTGTACAAAATCTTACCGACAGCGAACGTCATCCTAACAAGAAGCGCATAACCTATGCAATGCGTGATTATGTCGAACACGATGGGCTTTAAAATGGTGACATAACTCGGGAACGATCGGAAAGTTTCGGATAGGTCGAAAAGCGCGTTCGACCAATTGAATTCAATGCGATGTAAATTCCGTGCTCGCGATTGGTTCTTTTCCATTGGTCGATAAATATCAGCCGCCGTGAATAGTGATCGGTGATTGGTAGGTTAGATTCTATAAACATTCTTACACATTTCGAACTCGGTTAAGAATTATTATTGTGAGTTGGCTTTAAGGACTGGAAAAAAAATTATTGTGAATAACTTTTTATATATATATATATATATATAAAACGCGTTTTTTATTTGGCTATTTCTCTTTCTTTTTCCCCTTTAGTTTAACAAATCATTTTTCGATAGACAATATACAAATAAACGAAATTTACCAGTGTGTACTCCTTTCATAAGTGTAATCATCGTAGTTAATATAATACTCATATAGATTCTGGGTAGCTAAGCTTCTGGTATCGATTCGACCTCGAATAAAAACGGAACAATACACCAAGTGGAAACGTTCGATCCTACTTCAGTATATTAGTGATTTGTACGAGCTCAAGCACTTTGGACGCGCTGCGCTCTCTAACCATTTTCTATCCTCTTCTTTCTCTTTTACACATATACACACACGCAACACACAAACACAGTGGTTTGTGACGGCGCGTGCAACGAGAGGGAACGCTAATCTTACGCACGATTGTAGAATGAGAGTGAGTGAATGAGAGAGGGAGAGAAAGAGAGAGAGAGAAAGAGAAAGAAAGAAGGAGAGAAAGAGAGAAAGAGAGAAAAAGATACAGACATTGAACTGATCCAATGGTGAGTGTGTTATGTAGTACGTGCAAGTGTTCATCATTTTCAATACATTAATCTCAACTTTATCATACCACATATACACACAAACACACACACATATATATAGTAAATACGACCTATACTATTTACTTATATTCTATCCTTGGTTTCTTATAAGTCAATTAGACGTGTTTTATATACGTAGGTGTGTGTTGTGTAGTAGTAGTAGACGTAGCAGGTAGAAAAAGGCGCACGCGTGCGCGCACGCGCGCACGCACACAAACGTTTTCTATCTCTTTCATCATCAATGCTCCTCTTGCTTGCATCGCGTGCGTGAATCGACGACGTATAGTACTTACTTTCCATAAGTACGAGATAAAACGCGTCACTAACGCGTCATCACGTCCTTTTGCCACTAATATAATATCGTGTATTATTATTTCTATATCAGCCTATCACAAAACGCGCCGATTCTTAATTTCTTCTACTTCTTCTTCTCTCTTTCTCTTATTCTCTCGTATTCTCTCGTACTCTCTCGCACGCTCGCTATTTATTTACACATTAAATTAATTTTATCTTACGAATAAATTTAACCATCATATAAGAAATTTTTGTGCTCTACAGTCATACCTGGCACATGTGATAAATATATATATATATTGTATATATGTATATATATTCTTATGATCGATCGTATTGTTTCTTTTTTTTTAATTTTGTATTTTTTAGTATGCCCGGAGGAGACATGTTTGTTTGGGTTATTTTTTTTTCCTTCGTAAATGTTGTCTTTTTATTTTCTTTATTTCGTACAATTCTTTTTACCGATCGTTAATCGTCGATTTAACTTTGATAATTGAATTTAATAAAACTTTGTGTTTTTTTTTTAATTTTTAATTGTACATATAAAATTTATTGTTTGTTTGAATTGTTCCCTCTTCGAATACGTTATCCTAACCTATCTTTTCGATTTCTTTTTTTCATTTTTCGTTCTTGTGTCTGCTTTCTCTTTAATTTTTTCCTATTGTTTGAGATTCTTCGAATAATTTGTATTATTGTAAATCAAATATTTTTATTAAAAATTATCTTTTTTTTTTTTTTTAATTTTTAATTTGAATTCCCCGTCATTATTAATACCTTATTTATTCTTTGTTTTTGGGTCCATTTATTTCGATTGTATTGAAACAACGTCAACGAGATTAGAGGAAAGAAGGATTTAGAAAGAAAATTAATAATAGAGGAGGAAATAGAAACGAAGAAAAACTACGTGAATCAAATTATTATATGTGCCATTTTGAAAAGAAACAAATACATTAGCAAACATTGTTGTAACCTACTACTACCTACTGTCAAAGTGCACACGTGCGTGAAGCGTAAGAATACATTCCACGAAAATAAAACCCCTTTTTTAATTTTTTTTTTTTGTTTTTTTTTTTAAAATAATCCACGTACTTTCTTTTTTATTTTAAATAAATTTACAATGTTAGAAAATTATATATGTATATATTAATTAATATTCGTTAGTCAACAGTATGTTGTTGTACGTTAACATTTACTTTTATTCTTATCGTTATTCAGTATTATCTGTTATATAAGTGTTTATGCATGATTATTCTTATATTTTCTTAACATGCATTTACACATGTATAGGGTGTCCCAGTATCTTTTTTTGTAAAATTTTATCCTCATATTCTATGAGTAAAAATAAGATAAAAATATTAATATTAACTAAATGTTGATATATTTTTATCTTTATTTTTTTATAACCAACAATATATAATATTTAACTCTTTGAACTTGTACATCACACCGAAATACATTTACATAAATAATCATTCTACGTTGTTACATATTTCGATTTGTTATTTAAATATAATATTTCGAAAAGTTTTTTTTTTAAATAAATTATATAATATTTAATTGCAAGTAGAAGAGTAACAAAGTCATAAATAAAACGAGTTCAAAGATTCAAAATGCTTAATAATCGAATACCACCATAGAAATTTAAAACAATTTATTTGTGTTTTTTTTTTTAAATCATAATCCTTTCATATAGATTCATACGCTTACTTATTAATTAAAAAATAATATTAAGCAAGAACGAGCCATCGTGCTTCTTATATTCATAAATTTAATTTTTTAATTTCTTTTTTTTTTTTTTTTTATTCTTTCTCACCAATATAATCTTCATATCCGACGTTGGTCAAAATACTTGTATCTTCTCGGTTATTATGTTAAAATATTTCAATGCATATGCATGTATGATAATTTTGTATTACAACATCGAATTGATTAAGTATATGCATTTATATTACTAACATACACATACACAGACACATGTTGATATATATATATTTATGGTATTTAAATCATGCGTATGTTTTAGAAACAATTTTATTAAATCGTAAAATTCTTTACAATAGATATCACGTATGCATATACTAATACATATGTTATATTTACCTTCCATTTGTTTTCCGTATTATGCTAACTGGGTTACGAGACTTCAATTGTTACTCTCATGAATACAAAAAGCAGAAAAAAAAAGTTACCCCTTATGTATTTTTAATTCGATTTCGTTATACGCGTTATTTTATATTTTTCCTTTCCTCTTCTTTTTCATTTATTTATTTATTTATGTATATTTAAATTGCAAACGTATAACGAAACGATTAATCGATGTTACTTGATACGATCATGGTTCAGGATAATTTCCAAATCTTTTTACTTTATGTATTATTATATAGTAATTATAATAATAATCAGATTATTGCAATTGGGTCAAGTTATGCAGAGAAAATGATGAATTATCGATCATCTGTATTTTGAATAAATTTCAAATTGAAAAAAAACGATTTTAATTATAATTAAAAAAGCAAAATAAGAGTAACATAATTTTGATAATTTGATTTTTGATTGATAAGTATTATATTCAAACAAACACATTCATGCATCTAATATAAATTAATTTATTTTCATCGTGTACACGTTAATATAATTTATATTATTTAATATGTTTAAACGGGGTTAAATAACGATATGTTAGTAAAAATGTATTGTTAATTTTTTGCAAAATATTTGCGTTAATCGTTTTGAGTATTTGCGTCATAAGAAAAAAATATCTCTTGACAAGTGGGAAGATATCTATGTATTATTATTTTCTTTTCATTCACGTAACTTCTTTTTTTATTATTTCACGCTTGGTCCTTACTACTATTTTATAAACTGTCGCGGGAAAGAGATATAAAAAGAAGAAAAATAAATATACTAGACTGATATATATATATATATATATCGATTTGTTTGACCAAAGCAAGTAGTAAAACGCAGATATTGGAAAAGTAGAAAAGTGGAAACTTTCGATTGCAACAAACTAGATTTGTATATGTTATATCAAACTTTTTATATTAACTATTTCAATGTTTTTATTTTTTCATCATTCTCCAATTTGAAATATTAAAACACTAGCCAATGAAAAAAAGGATTCGATTTTCGTTCTATTCGTAATCTTATTTTCCTACTATATATTTTAATTTTTTCATTCGCAACGTTGGAAACGTAAAAAACAAATTTTTGTTAATTTAAAAATATTTTTATATCATCCAACCAAACACAGTTTACATTTTTTTTTTTGTTGACCTTCCTTCCATCTTATAAGATAAATCAAATTCAATATTTTATTATCTCCAAAATTATTTTGAATTGTGCGAGCGAACACAGATGAGTTCTTTTTTTCCTTTTTTTTTCCTCGAATATAAATCGAAATATTCGTTTTAATTATTTCGATAGGATTCGACATAGGAATATTTATTATTTCCATTTTGTATTTGTATTTAAATGAAACGTGATATTCTATTGTCCGTTGTACGGGATTACATTTTATAGATTAAATGAATCTAATTTGAATGAAATTTGAACAGGTGAAGCTTCGACAAGATGGTGAGACTTCCTCAAAAACTGGGGCTGATTGTCTTGCCATATCCGGTTGCTCAAGATTTAAAAGATATCGAAGACAACGGTTCATTCGTGTCAAAGGTATTTTTATTTATTATTTATTAAAATATATAAATATATTTATAAATTTATTTATTATATATATATTAGATCGTTAAGAAAATATAATTTCATTATTTGAAATTTTGTAAATCGGATTTTATCCTAAAGTACATTATTTTTCAAAAGTTTATTTTTTAATATTTGTAATTTCTTAATGTTTCCAAATGCAACATACCTATACAGATATGAAGAATATTAAAATAGATTTTAAAATTTTAACAAGGTAAAAGAAAAATAAAAAGAGATAATTGAATTGACTCGTAAACAACGTAGTAGAATCGTGAGAGTTGTCATGTGAGGAAAAAGAAAAAAAAAATAATTACCATTAGCTATTTAAATAGCAATTAAATAAGATTAAAGTAGGATAGTTTTTGCATTACTAATATAGTCGTTAGATATGGCTAATAAATTAAGTAACATATGTTTCATTGCTTTCTATTCTTTCTCATTCCTTGTTTTATAATTTTATAAAAAATATCATTGTAAATTTTCTCGATATTTGATTTGTTTTTAAAACAACGATTTTTGAAAAAAAAAAAACATTCTTTCATAGAAAGAAATATAATGCGTGTATCTAATAATAATAATAATAATAATAATAATAATAAAAAATATGTTCTCGTATTGTATCGAGATAATGTTTTATTACAATCATCCATTATTTTTTTGATTATAGAATTTCTGTATACTCGTGTATATTATTTTGAAAATATACATATTTACTTTTACATTGGTTTCTTTCAATAAATCTAAAAATTAAGATAAAAGTATCCCGTTAAAACATAAATATTACCGGGAACTACCAGATATCACGCAAATAGATTAAAAATTTAGTTTGGTAGTAGGCATGTGAATCTATAGTCGTGTATTTGTCGTCGTACGCATGTGTGTTTCATTGATAAATAATCGATTGATAATTGAAAATATTAAATGCGATTTTTTCTGTACAAACGTGAGTATAAATATTATAATAAAAACCTATTCACGTGCATGTATATGCATATATATATGAATGAAAATTTGATTTAAAAATAAAAGAAAGATTTTTTTAATCGTTTTAATAATAATCATCATATATAATTTTACGATGATGTGTCATCGAAATATTATGTATTACCGTTTAAAACGCGTTATCTTTTCCGAAACATTCTTATGTGTCGTAAATACATATGTATATATATACATATACGTTTCATCGATTCTTCGATCGAAAGTACAGTCAGAAACAATAGTAAAAAATACTTGAAAGGGTCTACTAACACGTCCAAACTTGAAATATACCCTTTGCCTTCAATTTTTTGTTTATTCATCATTGTACAAATGATAAAATATGTTCATTAGTATTGACAGATTTAATGTCGTGATTGTATTTACAATGGAATCTATGAAATTTGATGAATTCATGAAAATTGTAAGACTCGTAAACACTTCATAATATTACCTTCATGCCATTTACGATTTATGCTAATATTTTCTCGTTTTAAACGATCATGTTTGTTTTGGATAATTCAATATTTTGTAATATAAGAAAATATTGCAACAGTTGGACAACAACGCGAAAATTAAATTTAAAAGATAATTTATTTCAATAAAATATTGTTTATTTAATTAAAGTTACAATTTTATTCGACTAATCTCAAATATTACTTCACAGAATTGATAGAATCGAGCAATAGTATAAAAACACAACCCAATTTACAATTGAATATATCAATTTGTAGATTATTATGATAGAAAAATATATAAAAGAACCAATCTTATACTATTAGGGTGAACCAATTAGTTCGTGCATTGTTTTTAATTAATATTTTCAAAGTAAATTTTTTACAAAAAAAGAAAAAAAACAATCCACTGATGCAGTTTATAAAACAAAAAATTTCTAACACAATGATAAACGTACGAACTATTGATTCACCCTAATATCAGACAAAAATACAAACCATAAACGTATGGGGAAAAATTATTTACAGTTTTGAAGATGATATCACCGAGACGTTTGGACTCGGAGGGACCAGCAGGTGGAGGAGGAGGAGGAGGAGGAGTGGGTGGTAGTAAGGATGATGACAACGGTACAAAAGCATTTCTGTCAACGGGAAGAACCGGAAGAAGAAACGCTTTACCGGATATTCATGGGAAACATGCTGCAACGAGTATTTCCGATTTGCCAGATCGTTTCGGGGAATTATCTACCGAAACTGGTACGAATGTTGTTTCTTTTTCTTCCTTTTCTTTCTTTCAACCCTTATTATTTTTTTTCACCCCTCCCTTCCTTTCTCCTCCCTCCCCTTGACTTCTCCTCATTCTAATTTAATTCGTATTATATGCAGTAGTATTATACAGATTGGATTTAAATTGTAAAACGTTCAAATGGGATTTTTTCTTTTTGTTGTCTTTCTAAATTAATTTTCAGATCACGGCATGAACGCTGCAGCACGTGAAGCCAATAATCAACCGGGTGTCTCGAAACAACACGTTGGTTGACGACAACACCGTTCGCGTTTTCTTCTCTTCCTACATTTTTTTCGTCAAATTTCAATCTGCTCTGGGTGCTAAGTGCGGAAATTTGTCAATTTACATATATACTGTAATTTAAATACACGAACGATGGATAATCGTAATCGCGTTATAAAAAAAAAAAAAAAAGAAAATAATAGAACAAAACGCAACGCGCATATTTGAATATGCATAATTAAAAAAAAATAATATTAATAAGAACAACTGTGGGTAGGTGGGTGGTTTGTTTTTTTTTTCAAGTTGAAAAGCTTGAAATATTTTTTTTGATCTCTCTCTCTTTCTTATTGCCTAATATTTTCGCTTAGCAATGATCTAATTATTAGTAACGTTATTTATAAGTATTTAATAGTAATAATTATTATTCGAACTGAAATTGTTTCGTGAAATAAATGACAAAGTTTAGAAATATTGATTACTTAACGTATAACGAGTTAGCATATAATAATAATAAGAATAATATTAGTAATAAGCATAATAATAATAATAATAATAATAATAATAATAATAATAATCGATTAAATTTAATTATTATTGTTTATACAATTGCGAATATATTGTCTTTTACAATTAGTTGTTACGCGTTGTGAGATGAGTCCTCACGTAAATAACTTCAAAAACGTACCGTTCATTTCGTGGGCCCTAGACTAATATCGTTTAGAGGCCTTATTACGCAATGAGAACCCAAGTTAACTCAAGTTTGGATTAGCTGTGATAACTCATTCGTTATTTTATCGAAAAACTGTTCTTTCATTCTTCTTTTGTGTGTTTTCTTTTCATAGAAAAACTTTTTTTTATAATTATAATTATTTCTTCACAATATCTAATTTTTACACATTGTTTTTATATATTTTTTACGTTATCACCGTGAACTTTGCAGGCCGCAAAAAAAATTATACGTAAATTCCTCTTAAATAAATCGAATATATTTATTTTGTTTTTTTCAAATCTATATTTTATTTAAAACTTTAAATAAAAGTCGATTAGATAAATCGGTCAACTGCAATAATAATGTTGTTGTTGTTTTCATTTAAAATGTCTCAGTAATATAATTTATTCATAAAGAGAAACGAGATTCTAATCGCTCACGCTTAAATCAATTATCTCTATTTTCCAACGAGCAATTATTATACAGTATTTTAAATAATATATTAATCGGAAGGATAAATAATGTGTTTTTTTTTTTTTATTTTTGTGGTAGACTATATTTCAACGTTTCTACGAATGAAACTGATCTAAATATAAATCTAAATTTAAATCTATAAATTTAAACACATTGAGGTTTCTTGTAAATAATATCATCTTTTAGAAAAATGTATTCTTTTATTATACACAAATTTGCAAATTAATTTACGGATATGATTAAAACTATTATTATATCTCACAAATATACATCATTGTGCATTTTAGTATTGTGTAATTATAAATACGATGTTGATCGCAAAAATGTTGGGATTATTTTGTTTCGTTTCAATGTTTCATTTCTATATTTAGAACATTTTATAAAATAAATATTAAAAATAAATTTTTAATGATGAAATTTAACAGGGAACTTGGACATGAAAGAAGTAGAACTATGTTTGATTTAGTTGGACGTTTCGTCCCTTTATTGGGACTTCTTCAGCAACTAGAAATTTTATTTTATTATTATTTCTTATATTACGACATACATGAAGCTCATACAATAAATAATTTTTTACATGTTACCTTAATCTTTACAGTTCAGCGTCTTTTTTCATTAAGTAGACATACATTTTTCTTTTTATTATTAATATTCAAAACACAAAACATCTAAACTTCGTTAAATTGATCGTTATTATTTAAGTTCCTCAACAAAACTGTTTCAATCTAGACTAGTGTTTGTTAGCCTAGATATCATCAGTGTAAGGTGTCCTCTATTATTTGTTATGGTTAAAATTTAAAATTTTTGGACGAGAGAAATACTAAATAAATTAAAAATAAAGAATTATATTTAATATTGAAACTTATATCAGGTAAAAATAAATATTTCTGCGATCTATCGTTCTCGATTTACATTTTATTCAATGACACACGTTACACGCATATATTTATTGTGATCATTTACACGAAGACAAAAAAAAAAAAAAGGAAAGAAAATTATTTTTGGATCGTCGATAAAAAAATTAAATTGTTAGATATTATTGTAATTATGAAATAAGTCTTACTATAGTTTTACTACGTACAATTACTTTGTACGCGAATATGTTGGATCACATTTTATATTGAGTATTTTTTAAATACTTAAAAAAAAAAAAAAGAACATACACAATCAGAAATAATTACGAGAATTCAATAATTTTCCCTTTCTTCTTTTTTTTTTTTTTTGTCGTACGAGAAAAAAAATTTAATTCGCATGCTATAACGGATTGTCACGATATTAAAATAAAATATGATAATGTCTCGTTAACGATAAGAGAATATTGTAAAACATAAAATCCGATTAGTAAATACAAAAAGAATATTAATAATAATAATAATAATAATAATCTACGTTCACAAATAAAATTACCTCGAGTTGTGTAGTAGGTACTTGAAACAAAAAAAAAAAAAAGAAAAAAAACGAACAAACAAAGAAAAAGAAAAAGGAAACAGGATTGACACACGATAAGTAATCATTTATAAAATAAATATGTACAGCGATTACGTATTTGAAGGCGAATTGAATAAAAAAAAGAAAAAAAGAATATATAACGGATTATTATTCGCGATGAGAAAAAAAAAAAAAAAAAAAAAAAAAAAAGGAAAAGTAAAGAAATGTGTATTCTTTTATCAGCAACGAAATACGTCTGATTCTTTCTTTTTCTTTACCGGTATAAGATATAATGAGTATTGATATTATTCTCGACATTGAAATTAAACAAACGTGTTTATATTGGCGTGTACGTAAACCCAACCCTACACATGCATATGTATACGAGTATTTTATATCCTTCGTGCGTGTGTATGAAAGCGTATTAAAAAAGTACATACACTTAGGTGTAACATAAACAAAATTGGAATGATACAAATAATATGCGCCGCATGAATTGGCATATATATATATGTGCGTTCGTGTAATAAATTCACGAGCACGTATTTAATCGTTACAATTTTTAAAAATGTCATATTATCAAAAAGACAAAAATTTTCTGTAACATAGATATGTAAATATTACGACGAATTTACCATGCGAGGTATTTACGATTATTGTGTGTGAAAAGAAAAAAACAAAAAAGAAGAAAAAAGGATATGACGAAAGAGTTACTATTAATAATAGTACACATCGGATCGATGGTGGTGATAATAATGGAAGCGAGTGGGATGATGAATCATACCGATCTTACGAAAAGAAAGAAAAAAAAAAACAAAACAAACAAACCTATTTTCCGCGAAAAAGTGTGTAACATTTAATTTATTTACGAAATTTAAAATCTGATTTAGCGATGAAATGGAGGGGAGAAAAAAAAAAAGCAACAAGAACGTTTGATTGAAAGCACGTTTATATAATATACGTATATGTAAGTAAATCGGAGATATATCAATTTTTTAAGTAATTTAATTGAATAAATATATAAATGTATCAAGATGCAATATATAAAAGATCTGATTAATATATTTAACAAAAAAAAAGAAAGGGAATTTTAAAATTAAAAAAAAGAAAAGAAGAAGAAGATAAAAAGAAAAACGTACTTTAATATTGTTTTCCTGCTAAGGTCCAATAAATTTGTGATAAAACAAAATACACATACACACACACACACGCATATATATATACATATATACTTTTTATCTGTTTTTATGGGATACCTGGAAGAAGGGATAGATAAAATGAACTAAATGATAGTTTTTGTAAAACTATCTAGATAATAATCGTGGAAGAAAGTATTATAGATTGTTAAACGAATGAACTAGTTGCAAGCTCGCACGCGAGAGATTTACGTTTGTTATGTGTCTCTCTCCTGCATAAGAATATAAACGTGTGTGTGTATGTATGTACAAGTCGTGCTTTTATTTGGAAGCCGATGCAGCTGTGACGACGCTATGACGATGGAAAAATTTTGTTTGAACAGCTTGTTGTCAGTAAAAGAGGTGTTTGCATTTACGCGTTACTCTCTTTTTCATCAACACATAGATAAATATGTAAATGTGTTTGCGTGTGTGTGTGTAGGGATGAATAGATAGAATGAGAGGGAGAATGGTGAGGGAAGAGGGGGTATGGTTAGATGGTCAGGTGTACTTAGGCGAACACGTGCACGCGACTGGGGGTTATGCTATTAGAAAAGGGTAGACCCTTATCGGATCGTCGACACCCTTTAATACAAGAACAAGAATTGTAATGGAACGTTCGAAGACCAAGAAGTAAAAGGATGACGATTAACGATGACGATATATCAAACTTTATATATATCTATATATATATGTATATATATATGTTATGTTCATGACGGATCTTATTAGATCGTTGAATGATTTTTTTTGTTTAAATAAATAAATTATATAAACCTATGGTACACTAATTAAATATAATACGAAAAGGTAGTTTTGTTCTTTAGGATAATTTATTTGCATTTACCACGTTTTTCCTGTGTTATATATATATTATAATATATATTTGAAAAAAGAAGAAAACAAAAAAAAAGTTACGATGAGAAGAAATTATAAATTGTGGGATACAATATTTTGCTTTTATTTTTTTGAAGGGTATATTCGATGATAAGCGGAAGATCGATGATAACGCGTCGATAGAACGCACCTATATACATATATATAATATATTACCACATCTTATATAATAATTATTATTTAAAAAAAGAAAGGGGAACAAAAATTACGGAATACGAATATTTGACACTTATTTGTTAGATAAGTTAACAAATATATTTCATTACTTATTTTCAATCCCCTTTAATTTTCATCTCTCTCTCTCTCTCTTTTTTACTTTACTTTTTGAACGTTACACGGTTTCTCTTTTCCATGACAAGAGAAAGACTTCCTGTCAAAGATAAAAAACGTAAGTTTTGTAATTAAGCTTAAATATCGCTTGTCCAAACTTGTATGTTTATACACGATGACACTTCTACTCACACAGATAAAAGAACCGTCTGTCATCATTTTTCTATGCATGTTAGGTAAGTGTTAACGTATATAAAAGTTTAGTTTTCACGAGATTGTATGTAGGGATAGAAACAATACGTTCTATAGACTTCTCTGTTATCTAGTAAATCTCCTAGTCTATATTATGACGCGTTACTCGACAGAAACGATTATTTCGACCCTTACGAGTGCCGTAAGCAGAGGGTTGTATTACTTTACGAGACTTCACGCGTCTTCTTTAACATTCGAATTATTATTATTTCTCACATAATATTTTCATTTTTCAATCTTTTTCTTTTTTTTTTTTATTTCTGTTCGTTCTGCTTACGTGTGCGTCTGTTTGATTTTGTATGTGTGTGTGTGTGAGTGTGTACGTGTAACAATATAATAATGGCATAAATTATAACGATTACGTATCGGAAATGTTTGAAAAAACATAATGTGCGGTTTAAAGGAAGAAATAAGAGCTGGTAACAATATGAGAACTACTTTTTGGACAGATATGCCGAAATTACATCGACCGATCACCATTCATGTCAAGTTAGTATACGGATAATATTTATTTTTTTTTTTCTTTTTTTTTTTTTTTCATAGTATATATTAAAATTATTTTGATATATATATATATATATATATATATTTGATTTATAAACTGTGTGTCGAGTTTACGCGTTAATTGAAATAGTATACGATATTGGTTTTTAATATTATTTTACACAAATGATAGAAAAGTTTAATATATTTAAGAAAATTAAATGAGAATGAGTTTTTTAATTATGGGGGAAAAAAAAATGTTTCGAAATATAAGACGATACTTGGGTAAATACTTAGAAAAATTAAAAAAGTCGAAAAATAAATCAGTTTTATCAGACCCTTATTCGTAAATTTTACGAATTGTGCAATAGTAAACGGACTCCACACCATTTTTACGCATTGACCACAAAAATTCGAAAAATAGAAAAGAAGAAATATCAAATCGATGAATATTTTGATTGTTAATTATTACTTTAATTAATATATTTGTGCATAAATATTGTTCGTATTTTTTTTTTTAAATAAATTTATCAACAAGATATTTTTCCATTCATATAATTTACATCAAATTTTATATTAACTTTTTCAAAGATACCACAAAAAATGTAAAAAAGTATTCTTATTTTCCTAACAAAACATCAAAAAAAAAAAAAAAAAAAAAAAACGAAAAAACGATTCATGAGAAAATGAACTAAATGATTATTAAATATTTCAATCTCTTATTTACATTATTATTACTTATTTAATCGAATAGATTAAAAATACGTTTTAGCACGAATGAATTTAATTATTAATTTTTATAACAAACAATTCGATTACTACACCAATGAAAAAAAAATATTAATAAAAGAAAATTAGACACGTCACTGATTTTTAAATCAACTAATATAATATCTATCACTTTATATAAAATGAACAAAAGAACATTATTCGGAATAAAACTCAACACTTGCAAACTAATACATATCGATTCAAATTAAAACGCAATTGAACAATCGTGACAATTAACTAATGAAATGGTCAAATGAAAATGAAATTAATTGACGAAAGAGAATAAACGACGATTATTATATGTCAATAAAGAAGAAGAAGAAGAAGAAAAAAAAAAATTAGAAATTAGTGTCATCAATATCTGATCCGATATAATTTTCAAAGTATTCATATCTTTTTTCTTTTTTTTTTCTTTTTCTTTATTCGATGTAATAAAATGGTGCTTTCCGTTGAGATCATCTTTCTCTCTCTAACAAATCGGTTTCTCAAGGTCCGTAAGCGTTCACAATCTATGCCGCCAAGGGTTTTATCGAGTTTCCATTGTTTATAAAACACCCACCACCTATTTTCTACTAATCCAATAAAGACTATCGATGAGAAAAATCCGTCTTCTGTTCGCTATGCAATTTTGTGCAGTGCGGATCGTGTCTTGGTTCATCGAATATCGCGAAAGTGACTTTACAAAAATTTGCTTTTTTTTTTTTTTAATCTTTCGTTTATATATAATCCCAAGTGATATTATATTTTCATAAAAACAACAATAATAATAATAATAATAATAATAATAATAATAAAAATGGTTGATAATTAGTTATGAGATTATCGCGATGAGAATTAAATAATTAAACGGCGGGATATAAAACAAGGATACAAAAAAAATAATGGATCGAAATTCTAGATCAAATAGGACTATTTGGCAACGTTTTAAAAAATTGTTCGTTAAAAGGAACAACATTTCCAGGTCGCCAAGGAGTAATCTGCAATTAAGTAGATTCGACACGTTGAAGACCGACGTTGAAAATCCGGAAGGTAAACTAAACGGGTATTTTATTTCTTGGTTCGTACGATAAAAATTGAAGAAACAAAAAGAAAAATATCAGAATATAAAAAAAAATAATACAAATAATTAATAACAAAAAAAAAGAAAAAAAAAAAAGAAAAAGCATTGGATATTTTGTCGGAGAATTCTTTTTCGAATGTTTTAGTATCGGACCCGGACGTATCTTTGGTGAACAGTTTTAATCCCGCAACAGATAGTTTTCACGCCTCGATCAGGCCAATCATCCTATTGGCCAATTGTTTTTCGATGCTTCCAGTTTCCGGTGTCAACAGTCCGGATGCGTCCTACCTAAAGCAAGTAGATACTATTAACTGTGATTCGATTTGATTTTATAAAATCATTGAAAAAAGATACATTTGAATTTTTTTTTTCTTTTTGTTTTTGACCTTTTTTTTTTT